GGCCTAAATCCTAAACCTAAACACCTCTACCCTTTTGACCCTAAACCCTAAACCCTAAACCCACACTCATGCGTCCTGGTCTCTTGCTTGTTGCGTGGCCCCCAGCCCCGATAAGTACACCAACTTCCGGATATGTTCACCAAACATATGCGGCTTTCCGAAATTCGGGGTACCCCGAATATACCCCCGAAATACTTTACTATAATCCTTATTATCGGAACCCCCAAAAAGGGTACCCTGTCTTCGAAGCCCCATATCCCTCCCTCCCTCTTGTCTTCCTTCGCTCCCTCGCTCGCTCACTCAACTGCCTCAATCCTTGTTCGCCCTCTCAGCCCTTGCAACGGGTGGCCAAATCGTCGAGGACATCCGGCAACGTCAGATTGCTGGGGAGGACCAATCCTTTTTGGGTTTACAGGGTCAACATTGTCTTTGGAGAGAGTTTGTCGGGGGGGGGGGGGGGGCTGTAAAAGCTTTTGTGGTTGTATCCTTAAGGGCCCAAGGCTAGGGGCCAGCAAGCCTAAACTTTTACATGGCCTGCTCCACCCCCCACACGCCTGTCAGCCTCTGAACCCCGGACCCGTAAGTCCCAAACGCCCTAGAAAGAACCCCCGCAGACGTGCTGGAAAGCCCTAATCTCAACGTCCGAACTAATCGCAACAATTGTATGATAATAATAATATTCAAACAGTAGTATAATCACAATAGTCATAATAATAAAAATAGTAATAGTACAAGAATACTCAGAACAGTAATAAGTACTGGTTAGGGCCAGCAGGCGGATGTCAATGTCGTGGTCTACGGTGTGGACTGCCCCGTCGATCTCGACGCTGTTGGCACCATACCTCTCGGGCTGGCTGCAAGCCCAAACCCTAAACCCCAAACTCAAAGCCTATAAACCCCTACAAAGCCTAGAATGCCCATAAACCCTGAAAACCCTATAAACTCTTTTAACCCTACAAAGCCTACAAAGTCTATAAACCGTATACAGCCTACAAAGCCTACAAACCCTCTAAATCCTATAAACCCTATAAACCCTAAACCCTAAGAGACATGGGAGCCATTATGCGTGAACTTGAGGCAGCCCAGTACTGGTAGGTCAGCCACGCTTCAGGCATCCCAGGGCGAGGGTTTAGGGTTTAGGGTTTAGGGTTTAGGGTTTAGGGTTTAGGGTTTAGGGTTTAGGGTTTAGGGTTTAGGGTTTAGGGTTTAGGGGGTACCGTAGCTGTGCCCTTCCCGATCACGCAGGCAAACGGTGAGGGGCCTCAGTGCGGCGACCATTGTAAGCACCCAAGGGTGTGCCAGCACGCCGCGCGACTGAAAGAAGCGCCTTTGGGTGCTTTTGGGGTTTCGGGTTTCGGGTTAAGGGTTTAGGGTTTAGGGTTTAGGGGTTTAGGGGTTTAGGGGTTTAGGGGTTTAGGGGTTTAGGTGTTAGGGTGTTAGGGTGTTAGGGTGTTAGGTGGGCACTGGCTTTGGGAGACGAAGGCTCTTCCTTTCCTTGTGTTCATGGAGGGTCAGGGGGGGCTGTCATTGGAGGGGTGGATTGAAAGGAGTCTTTAGGGTTTAGGGTTTAGGGTTTAGGGTTTAGGTTTGAAGCTGGGAGACTGGAAGGCCGAAGGCTTGAACTGGGTGCGCTTGCGGGGCGAGCTAGCGTCTCGCTGCCAGGACGACACGGAGACTTCGGCGTTTAAGATATCCGGGTGCAGGGGGAACTGATAAACTTCGTCAGACGTCAAACCCACAGAGATGCCCGAAGCCCACCTCACCAACAAGCCTCAGCTCTCAGCACAGCATGCAAACCCTAAACCCTAAACCCAAAACCCCTATGTCGGTCGGGGCTCGCCATGTCTCTGGACATGCGCTGGAAGCCCGGCGAGTCCTGAGATCAAGGGACTCAAGGACCCTTCTAAGGGACCTTGGGGTTTAGGGTTTAGGGTTTAGGGTTTAGGGTTTAGGGTTTGGGGTTTAGGGTTTAGGGTTTGGGGTTTAGGGTTGGGGGTGATGTAGGGGCGACTTAGGTATATAGGGACTGCAAGAGGTATACATTGGGATTACATAGGGGAGTAAGATGTTAAGGCTCCCTAGCTTCCAGCCTTCAGGGAGGGAGGATCATAAGGTTCTCGAACTTCAGGGCATGTTAGGGCTTCGGGTTGCTGGCGGCGTCTGACTCCGGGAAGAGGTTGCCCCTCAGACCTTAATCTACACTGACGGATGCAAAGGCTACTACCCTAAACCCTAAACCCTAAACCCTAAACGCTGAACCCCTGATAAGATGACTTCCAGGGGCGTCGGGCGCCGTAAAGAAGAGCTTTCCAAGCACAACATCCCCTAACCACGTATAGCCTCCAGATAAGCCGCAGTGTTCCTAATAAACCCTTATAGCCCCTTCGAACTAAACCCTAAACCCTATACCCTAAACCCTAAAACCCTAGACCCTCCACGCTGCCTTGCGCAGGCATGTGGACAGCGGGCCGGCGCGCCAGTGCGTGAACACGTAGGTTGCTTGCCTGAGTTCAGGGGCGCCCACGGGGGCTGCTCTTGACCCTGGGCTTTTGCCCATGGGTTTAGGGTTGATAGGGTTTAGGGCTTAGGGTTTAGGCGGACTGAGATTCATGATAGGAACAATGCTGGCTAAGCATCATTATCATAATCATAAGAACCACAGCAATACTTGATTCCATCGATCATGAGAATTATGCGCATCCTAGCGATAACGATAAGAGCCCTACATGCAAAGCCCAAAGACTAAACATCCCCTAAAAGAGCCCGCGAAGGGCTGCGGCTCCTACTATCTGGGCCTTCATGATTAGAACAGGGTTTTGGGGGTTGTTATAGTTTTTGTATGATTATAAAGGAACCATATCAAGCAATACGATTTTTTTCAAATTCTTCCGAACCCTACATTCTGTCCTGGACAAACCCAAACGCCCAACAGCTGAACTCCACACCTCAGCCTGGACACGTTAAACCCTGAACTGTGGTAAATTCCCCCCCCCCCCCCCCCCCCCCAAAGCCCCGCCCCCCCAAAAAAAATCTTCTAAGCCCTAAACCCTAAACCCTAAACCAAAAGCCCTAAAACCGCCCTCAGACCCTGAACCCCCCCCCCCACCCTCCCCTTGCAGCCATCTGTCCACAGGATCGCGAACGCCAGGAGGCAAAGCACCCCTGAGCTCAACGCTTTAAAGGAGGGCTTAGGTTCAGGGGACTTTAGGGTTTGGGGTTTAGATGGGAAACCCTAAACCCAAAACCCTAAACCCTAAACCTTAAACCCCCCCCCCCTCCCCCCCCCTCCGCAGAATCTCTGGGACTGGCGAGGCTGAAGCCACCCCCGACACTCTCTAGTGGTCAGGAGGGCTTTTAGGTTGTAGGTTTATTCGGGTTTAGGGTTTGGGGTTTAGGGTTAAAGGCTTAGGGTTTGGGGTCAGGGTTTAGGCTTCGGGTTTTTGGGTTTCGGGTCTGCCCTGACATTTCAGATGCAGACGTGGCTCCCACCATTTTGCGCTGCAAAGCCATCGCAGGGAGGGGCTCATCCCCCCAAGAACAGAGTCTTGTTTCTTGGGGGGGGGGTGGGGTGCTTAAGGGGGGTTGCAGGGGGGTTGAAGGGGGGCTTGAAGGGGGGCTTGAATGTGGGCTGATAAAGGGGGTTTTGAGGGCTTCAGAAAGGGTTTTAGGAGGTGCTTAGGCCACCCCCCCCCCCCGCCCTGAAGTACCCTTCAAGTTAAGATGCTCGAAAATAGGCACTTGTTAATAAGGGATGCTTGGGTACAGCTACGGAGTTCAGGCTTAAGGGCTTTTTAGGGTTAAGGGGTTTGCTGGGTTTTGGGACAGAGTTCTGGTCGAGGGTACGGGTCGGAGAGTACGATTCTGGAAGCCGCTGTCACTGCCACTAAACAAATCACACGCAAAAAGGGGCTTGAGCACAAGATTCCCATAGTCGTACTGCAGAAGGACCCTAAACTTAAGCCTACAAACCCTAAACCGTCCGTATGAAATCCCAAACCCTTCAACCCTTGAACCCTCAAACTCCTAAACTTGTTGATGGCTTTTCCAGGTGCCCGCTTGCTCCCTGGTTTTCGAGGTTGGGGTGGGCTGCTGAGTCTGAGGGTGAGATGAAGGAAGAAACAATACAAGTAAGACACACAACAACCAGGTAACTTCATCGGAGCGATTATGGAGTTCATGTTCCGCCGTTTCATTATCTGAACATGCTCCGCGTATGCGTTCGACGTCTTCGTTGAGGTCTTGGGCTATTTAGGCATCCTAAGCGTACTACCTAGGCAGACAAGGGCTATATGGGGATGATTCCTTTAGGGATCCCCCAACCCTAAACCCTAAACCCCAAACCCCAAACCCTAAACCCTAAACCCCAAACCCTAAACCCCAAACCCCAAATTCCTTTTAGGGTTCCCTTCGAAAGAGGGGGGGGGGGCCGACTTTTTTGTCCGAGACGTTGTCTCGCACCACTCTCGCAGATGAGGCCCTGGAGCTCATGCCGATGGGCCTCTGGGACATCTCAGACTCCGCAGCCCAATCCGAAGACTTTAACTTCCTGAAGCCCTAAACCCTAAACCCTAAACCCTGAACCCTAAACCCTAAACCGTAAACCCTGAACCCTAAACCCTCAACCCTGAGCCCTATCAATCTTGATGCTCTGATATCTGCAGCCCTCCCGAGGATTGGGAAGAGGAGCCTCCAGGAATCAGATTTAAAAAGACAGGTGAGTCCTCCTCTTGGGGGAGTAGATCCACCATGCTTCAATGCTCGTGCTGATGCCGGTTGCCTTCCGCGGTGCACAGCCTGTCTCGGCTGTGCCCACACGGCAAACCTACGGAGATAGGGCCCAAGAGGCGTTTTAGGGTTTAGGGTTTAGGGTTAGGGTTTAGGGTTTAGGGTTTAGGGTTTAGGGTTTAGGGTTTAGGGTTTAGGGTTTAGGGTTTAGGGTTTAGGGTTTAGGGTTTAGGGTTTAGGGTTTAGGGTTTAGGGTTTAGGGTTCATCCCGGCTGCTAGGCCGGAGTGCTCTGCTTCTTGTACGCGAGATATCTTCCTGTGTACTCTCCCAGGTATGTCTTGGTCTTCGGGGCCGCGTACTTCATGACCCACACGTGTAGCCAGGAGGGAACCTTGGCTCCGCCACTCGTCAACTTACAGGGTTTCTTAGAAGCGGAACTTTGGGGAAGAGTTAGGTAGCTTCTATGGCATCCCTTAGATGCCCCAAAAGGGTTGTTTAAGGGGGATCTAGGATAGAAGGTACCTAATTCTCTCATTCCCTACGAAGAACCAGTAGGTCATCCGACTCATACCACAAAGTTACCTCCCACTGCAGACGAGCCACCTCACTTAGGGAAGAGATCATACACCTCCCGGCATCTCCAGAAGGATGTGCCTGAATGCTTCCGGCCTTCTTGTTTCGGCCATCTGGCTTGCCATCCGTACCCAGGGTCTGCTGGGACCAGTCATACCGCCCTGGACATGACGGATCCTCTTCGATGGTGCATCGCAGGGTAACCGATGAAGGCAGAAACGGCTTCAGGTACCACAAGAAGCCTTCGAAGTTCAATGTCGCGACCACTATACCTTGGGACGTTGTTGTGATCTCCCTACGTGCTGGCACTGAAGCAGTGTGCCAAAAGACGCTCAAGCATGTCCCAAACCCTAAACCCTAAACCCTCAACCCTCAACCCCAAACCCTCCAACCCTAAACTGTAAGGGTACCCTGATATACCCTATGCTTGCCCATTTCACTTCATGTTCAAGGTGCTTTCCTCAGGCAGCTTCCCAGGGAGCATGCCGGTGCAGTGGACGACTTGGTCAATCTTGAGATCCTTGTAGTCGCGCGCATAATGCAGCTTGTTGGGAGAGAAGTCCATGAAGCACAGCAGTGCCTGCGCTTTGAAGGTCTAGGAGTCTAGGGTTTGTTGTGTGGTTTCGCAGACCGGTCTTAGAGAAGAGGGCGCTTCAGGTCTCTCATCGACTGGACTGCGTGTCTGCAAGGCTGCAAAGCTGAACACCACTCCCCCCCCCCCCAAAAAAAAAAAAATAAAGGAAGGAATTTGCAGTTAAAAACAATAAATCCTAGGGAACCCAGCGCCGATGAAGGAATAAACTGAAGTTCTTCAGTTGGGGGCTGGTTGGATAAGATGATGTAAGAATCTCGGGATATAAGTTGCTGTTGCTGCGAATTTCGAATGGCTCGCTACAGCCCTCTTCGAAACTCACGGGATTGAAGGCTTGGGTTCATCTATTGGCCCAAACATGCGAGAAGAGGACAGCTATGCGTGGCAATGCCAACATCAGGAAGGAGAAATCGCATGAACATTGGCAGCAGCAGCATCCCAAACACACCGACAACAATGTTCTGAGGACTGGCAGCCAGCACGTGCCCTTGAACCCAAAACCCGTCTAAGTTCTCCGGACACGATGCATCTTCAACACTCATGGGCAAGTCGATCGTTGCTCGGGCCCTGTACGTTGCCCCGCCCGGGATGTACTTGCTTGGAAGATACTCCATCATGATTCCGTCGTCCTTGTGGATGACCTTGCGCAACAAAGCAGGCTTGCGGCTCAGCTAGCGGCGAGCCCGAGCAAAGCGTTGAACAGCACACGACCATGTCTGTCTTATGCACATATTCACCGAGGCTCTTCCCACTTTGCAGACTCGATCTTGCTGATCAGGCCATCATTCTTGCTGGCAGCCTTCTGGGATGTGCGAATGCCGCCGGATGCTTCCACATCATTGCGGCAATCGTCCGCAGGTTTGGAGCCCTCCACCTGGCAAACACAGATTGAAGCAGGCGACTGGGTGGGAGGGGGAGGGGTGGGAGGGGGAGGGGTGGCATAGTGCGCCCCACTCATCTGCAATCTCCAAAAAAACCCTCTGACGCAAGCGTCGTGCTGCGATTCTGTTGGGCCTTCTTGAGCTCTGGATGCTCGTTTTCCTGGGCTTTCTCTGCGACATCCTGCTCCATGCGACTGATGCTTGGTACCCAAGGAGGGATCAGAGCAAGCTGCCGGACTTTCGCTGGCTTCAACAAGGAAAGCAAACATACAAACACAAACACAACCATACAAACACAAACACAAAACAACGAATGCGAAGACAACAAACAGAAACATGACCAGAAACCCAGATGAGAACACGCACCAAAAAACCACAACAACTATGTAAATGTGGACGCACGCATATCGCCAGGTAGCTGACAGGAGCTCCTAGTGAACCCATAGCGTCAGTGCTACCTTTGAAGGTCTTTAGGCTGTCTGGCAAGGATTCTGGGATGTCCCCCCTTACTAACAGTCCTTAATAGGCATTCCAATAGTTAAGGACTGTTAGTATAATGGGGGAACATCCCAAGTAGGCTTCCTTGATGATTCAGCCGAGATGACCTGGAGGCCCCTAAGCCCCAAACCCAAAACCCAAAACCGCACAACAAGGCTGTCCTAAATCCTCAACCCTCAACCCCAAGCCTTGAACCCCCTAAACTGTAAACCCCAAACCCCAAACCCCAAACCTGAAACTCCCTAAACCCTAACCCTCAACCCTAAGCCCAAAACCCCACAGGTGCTCAATAGCGCCCTCCTTCGTCTCCTCTTCAGGCTGAGCCCCTGTGGCAATCTCCAGGTGGCTCTCAGACACCTGACGCACAGCGACCCTTCCAAGAACCCAAACCCTAAACCCTAAAACCCTAAACCCCTTTTGCAACCCTCAACCCCTAAACCCTAAACTACGTATGAACTGCTGCTTAGGGTTGAGGGTTGAGGGTTGAGGGTTGAGGGTTGAGAGTTGAGATTTGAGAGGGTTGAGGCTTTGGGCTTAGGGTTGAGGTTTAGGGAGAACGGGAGGACCACACATGTTGGGGGCTCCTTGCCTGGGTGTTCTCGCAGCTACACAACCACATTCCTGTACACAGCTGTCCTCCTACGGAGGGTTGCAGTTTGCTGAGAACCTGCTGCAGCAAAATGAGATCATGCGCCTTCCAAGGCTAGTGACTTGCTTCATAAGAACCAGTATCCGAAAGTTGAGGTGGGTCGATGGGCAAGTCGAGGCCACCGAAACAGAGAGCGAGCGACAGACACGCGCGCGCACGCACACAGAGATAGAGACAGAGACAGAGACAGAGAGAGAGAGAGAGAGAGAGAGACAGAGAGAGAGAGAGAGAGACAGAGACACAGAGACACAGAGACAGAGAGACAGAGAGACAGAGAGACAGAGACACAGAGAGCGAGAGCGAAAGAGAGCGAGCGAGCTGCCAGAAGCGGTTTACCGTTCCTCCTAAACCCTAAGCCCTAAACCCTAAACCTGCCGGGCTTTGGGGTCTGGGCCCTGGGTTTGCCTTCTCGCAACGTCTTCGAGGATGACAGCTCTACTTCAGTTGACATGATCCGCGCTGGCTTTTTCTCGTAACCCTAAACCCTAAACCCTAAACCCTAAATAGGGATCCTTCATATGAGAACCCTAAAACCCTGAACCCAAACCCTTTGGCTGCGAGAAGACAGCGGCAAGCCTGACACTGACTACAAAGACGAGAACTGAAATCCGCAACTGGCAGCCCCAAAGCCCTAAAGGTCTTAAAGTTTAGGGTTTAGGGTTTAGGGTTTAGGGTTTAGGGTTTAGGGTTTAGGGTGAGGCATATGCCGGGGCAGCTGCAGCGCATCATACAAGACAACAACCCTGTGCCCTTTTTCCCTCAAAGCCTACTCAACCCAGAGCTGCCCGGTTTAGGGTTTAAGGGTTAAGGGTTAGGGTTTAGGGTTTAGGGTTTAGGGTTTAGGGTTTAGGGTTTAGGGTTTAGGGTTAGCCCTAAACACCCTAAACCCTAAACCCCATGAACAGCCCTCCGGCTTCCTTCTGCCTGCCCGACCCCCCCCCCCCCCGGCCCCCCCCAATATCCCTAAACCCTAAGCCCTAAACCCTAAAACCTTGACCCTCGCTTTTTCCGAGCGGTGCCACACGGCGGCCATCAGATTGGGCACCTTGGGGCTAAGTTACATCGGCGGCTTGTTGAGGGTTAGGATGAGGGTTTTGGGCATAAGGACCCTAAACCCTAAACCCTAAACCCTAAACCCTAAACCCTAACCCTAAACCCTCAACCATAAACCCCTAAACCCCTAAACCCCTAAATCCTAAACCCGGGTTTTAGGGATTTTTGGGGCTTAGGAGCAGTGTTTAGGTGTTTAGGGCTTTCGGACGGTGTAGGGTTTGCTGCGCTGGCTCAAAAGAGCCCACGGTCTAGGGTCTTTTGGGGCTTAGGGTTTTCGGAGAGTGTGTCGGGTTTGGGGCCTTAGGGTTGTTTGCTTACACCCTCAACCTGAACAGCCCCAAAAACTGGTTTCGGCTCCAGAAACTTACACTTAAGATAAGTTACAATGATAAGGATACAAACATACTGCTCTTAAATTGCCGTCAGAAGCTTACTCATGCATTTGCTTTACAAGCCTATTGCAGTAAAGTACATCAACTTCAGTTCCTGAAACCTAAACCCCCAAAGCCAAAGTGTCGGATGCGGGCCGCGGGACTGGACTGGGCCGTACTGGAGGCGCGGCATCTTCCCGACGTAGGCGTCGCCTCCGGATTGCGGAGCGCTAGAGCCGTCTTAGTGTCGGCACTGAGGTTTAGGGTTGAGGGTCTAGGGTTTAGGGCCTAAGACTGTTAGGGTCTAGGGTTTAGGGTTTAGGTTTAGGGTTTAGGGTTTAGGGTTTTAGGGTTTTAGGGTTTAGGGTTTAGGGTTTAGGGTTTAGGGTTTAGGGTTTAGGGTTTAGGGTTTAGGGTTTAGGGTTTAGGGTTTAGGGTTTAGGGTTCAGGTTTAGGAGGTTGCATGGTCTCTTGGGTTTAGGGCTCTAGGGTGCTGAGGGCACCTTGTGAAGTCCTTCAGGAACCTGCTCTTTCTCCTAGAACCCTTCCACCCTAAACCCTAAACCCTAAACCCTAAACCTGAAACCCCAGCTGCCCTTGAGGCTTCATGACTTTTAGAAAGGCCCTTTCGAAGATCTCAGGGCTTCCCCTCCTATGTGCACCTCTAAGACCCCCCACGCCACACACTGATTCATCCACCAGATGGTTCCCTTCTGAAACGACGAAGTGTATTCTCGGCTGACCGAAGTTTGAGGTTTAGGGTTTATAAGCTCTGTATCATAACGAGAACCCCCAAGGTTCAAGGCCATCATTCTGAGGTCTTGTTTTATCTACTTTTAGGTAGGGTTTAGGGTTTAGGGTTTAAGGTAGGCTGTCGGTTCCCTGGGGGGGGAGGGGGCGATTGAGCTTTGCGGTTTAGGGTTTCAGGGTGCAGTCTGTTAACCCTCCAAACCCTAAACCAATTCCCTCGCACACAAAGGAACGTGCCCATGCTTTCGCGTGCAGTTTTCAGTATCTTTCAGTGCCTGGCCATCTTCAGCTTCTTGGTAGAGGTATGTGGGATTCTTACCCTCCCCTGAAAAAGGAGGATGATCTTAGCCCCCTTAGGCCTAGACCTCGCAATTGGAGGATATGGGCGAAAAAGCGACACGTCTGTACATGAAGCGAATGGCCGTGAAACACAATGCCGTGACAGCATTGGGGGGCATTAACGCATCAGGAACCGTTGAATGCTCGCTGAAGACTCGCCTGAAGTTTTGCCGCCTCGGCCTGTCAACCCAAAACCCCAAACCCTAAACCCTAAGCCCCAAAACCCCTAAACCCTAAACCCCAAACCCTAAACCCCTAAGCCCCAAAACCCCTAACCCCTAAACCCTAAACCCTAAACCCTTTTCGGGCTGTCGTGCCTTCATGTGACAACGGCCCTACTGTGCTTGAGGCGGTGACCGCCCTCCTTGATGTCCGAGTTTTGGAACCTTAGTTGTCCAGTAACCTGGGGGAACTGAAGGCATAACCTTTGGGATTACAAGGGGATGATCCTAAACCCTAAACCCATGATATTACCCCAAAAAGGGCTTTAAAGGTTACCCTCCTCTACCACCAGGGAGCCGTATACGGCCCGAAAGAGCTCCGCCCGGCCCTTGATGTCCATCGAGCCCGTGGGAGTCGTTCCCGTCGGCGACGTGCCTCTCTTGAAACTTGAGCGCGTGGTATGGGCTGGAAGGCCTGCCATTGCTCGTATCAACCTGCCCTCCATTTCGCTCAGCCCACTTTCGACCTTAAGGATGAGCGCTTCAAGCAAGGGTTCGACTTCTGCTCCATCCTTGTGCAAGGATTTCTGCCACGTCTCACCCCTCTGCTCGCGCTCCTGGGCGGGGACTTCGGAAGTCGTCGCTTCGGACGGGGTGGGGGAGATCTGGTCCCAGAGTGTGTCCAGCTTTTTGGCGGCTTGCGGCTGCTCCACTTGCCGTTCTTCAGAACCTAGACTCCCCTTATGAACCTTAATAAAAACTAGTATTTTTTAAGTATCCTGTTGGGTTATATATACACAAAAATAAGAAATAATTCCCAAGGTGTTATATATATACACAAAAATATAAGAAATAATTCCCATGAAAGATATAGGAACGGCCTTGGGCTACCCAACCCAGGTCGGCGTTCTGCATGCTCATCTTCGCCACGACCGTATCGATTCTCTCAGAAAGATGGCCAAAGCATGTCCTATACTGAACTTGGGGAACCCCAGGAAAAATTTTCTAATTTTTGCTGCTTCTTAGGAGTTTTAGAGTACCCAAAGATTTAAAAATATTCAAAAGTACCCCTAAGTGTCTTGGACAAGCTGTAGAGGTCTTCCTGCATCTGCATCGTCTGCAGCATGTTATACCTTGCTAGCCCAGGTACTACATTACAATAAGGGCACCCTTTTGTGGATTGCCTATTTTATATGGGGAACCCATAACCACCCCCAAAAAAAAGGGTAAAAAGGGTACCACTGCGCTACCAAGATACTTAATGAACCTAGTTAGGGTTTAGGGTTTAGGGCTCAGGGTTTAGGGTTTAGGGTTTCGGGTTTAGGGTTTAGGCCACCACTAACGCCTACACCAAGATGCTTGATGAACCTCGGCGCGGTCTTGGAGTCATGAACCCAGCGACTCAGAGGCCCAATGAACTCCTGCACCTCAATGGGGTTTAGGGTTTAGGGTTTAGGGTTTAGGGTTTAGGGTTTAGGGTTTAGAACTCCTGGCACCTCGATGGTTCCACTTCCGTCCACATCGATCATGCGGAACCTTTTTTTGCTCCCCTTAGAACCTGAAGAAAAAGCACTAGTTGATCCTCTAGGGTTTAGGGTTTAGGGTTTAGGGTCCTCTAGGGTTTATATGAACAAAAAACCCCTAAATAATTGCCAAGGGGGATAGAGGAACAGCTGCTGCAAGTCATTCTCATCGATGTCCATCACTCGCAGCCGGCTTTGAAAAACCTTACTTCTCCAATAACCAACGGGAAAAAAAGGTTAAACGTTACTATTCCTACCAAATAAGGAAACCCAAAAAGCTTAAAGTTCAACTATTAAACTGTAATAACTTTAATCTTCCTACTAAATAAGGAAAAAGTTCAACTAAAGGCGCAGTAAGAAACTGGGTCCCGGCGAGCGCCCTGGATCAACTCCTCAAGCGTCAGCTCCCCGCTGCCGTCGCGGTCAATCCGCGCGAAAAGCTTCTGCAGGGCTTCCCGATCCTTCTCAATGTCCTGCTGGGCTGTGCTTAAAAAACCCTTTGAGAAACATATTTATGAATAGGCCCTAAACTCTCAACCCTTTAAGAAAAGTATTTATGAATAGGTTCCCTTATAAGGAAGGGAAATCAAAAGTGATCCCAAAGCACAACCCAGCCTGCTCCATTTCCTCGGCCAAGTTCAAGATGTCATTCTGTCTGGCTTCAGCAAATGTGTCGACCACCACGGCCACGATGATGTTCCTTAGCAGCCCAGTCACCATATTATCATAAGGGCACCCTTTTTTTGGATTGGGTACTTGTTTAGGGGACCTTGAACCAAAAAAACAGGGTAAAGGGTACTACTGGGAACCCGAAGGTTCAAAACGCCAAAGACCAAGGACAAAAGGGAGCCCACAAAGATGATGGCCGTTCCTGGACTCCTTTGTATGATCGGGACAGCCAGCCGTCCCCAGCTGTCTCCGGCAATGACCTAGTTCATGGTTGAGATAATACTAAAAATTCGAATTTCAAGTCCTTGCTGGGTTTAAGTACCCTTAAAAATGTAAAATGTTTAAAAAGTTCAAATTTCTATTCCTTATTGGGTTTAAGAACCCTTTAAACATGTAAAATGTTACCCAACTATGAGAAAGTGACGGTCTTGAACAGAAGCAATGTCGCATCCATAACTGAGCTCGTTGAGGTCTGGCCTTTACTCCCCTTAGGGTTTAGGGTTTAGGGATATTCTTAATACCCTCTTGCGCTTTTTTATAAACAAAAACAAGAAAATTTCCCAAAAAGGATATAGTGGCAGTATGCACAGTCCAGGATTGTCGCATCACCCTCTGCCATCATGTCCTGTACTATCGGGTACACTACTTCCACCAGCAACATGGCCCAGATCCTGATTCATGGTCGGGATAGTAGAAAGACTTCAAACTTTTTTTCCTTATTGGACTCAAGTACCCCTTAAAAGAAGTTAAAGTGCTTCCCAACTATGGCAAAGGATCGTCATGATCACGAAGCAGAGTAGGAAGGACCAAGCTAAAGTTCGAAGGCATGTTGCCATCATCGTTACCAGCTTCTGAAGCTCACGCAAGGACCGGATCCTCCAGTTCATTGCTGAGATCATACTCAAAAATATTAACTCTGTGCTATTCCTTATTGGGTTTAAGTGCCCTTAAACATGAAAAAATGTTAACCAACTAGGACAAAGTCCTCCGAAAGAACTGCAGCAAGCGGACGATACGCGCCAAGCGCAGGGCGCGCATCACACTCAGCTTTGTTGCCACGAAGTCAGTGGGAGTCAATGCCTTCAACATGATCTCTGCGAAGCCACACACAACTACCACCACATCGAGAATTGAAATCCAGTCTGAGACCATGCTGCTGAGACCTTTGCCTGTGAGACGCAGCAACATTTCGAGGCTGTAGAGGACCAAAGCAGTGTCAGCGAAGACTTCGACAAACGTCGCTGGCGGTTTGCCGGCTGCGCGAGAATCAATGTCGATCCAAGTGCACATTGCATCAACTACGACGACGCCAGCCATGAGGTTTCCGACGAAAGGGTTCGTCAGAACCCGTAGCGCAGCTCCTTGTAGCTTTGAAGCAGCAGACAATTTCGCCTGCATATCAGCGTCCGATGCCTCCGTATCTACTTTGATAAAATCTCCTGCGATCACTGAGGCTCGATTCTTGACTGCGGGGCTCCCTTCCGAGGCGGAAGCGACGGAGCGCTGTGCCGCGAAGTATAAGGATCCTGGTGAGCTGGAGGGCTCGCCCTGAACATCGTAAGGACTCCTCCGATCCGCGTGGTCGCTCGTCATCATGTCTACGCCAACGTCGTGCAAATCACGCCGGCTTGCAGACGCCATGGCGGCGAGGCGGCCCCGAGGAGTTCCAACCCTCCGTGCCTAGACTTGGGCCCGTGACACCGCGACATCTTCTAGAGGCCCCCTCCCCGGCCCCGCAGCCACAATGCAACAGGGTTTAGGGTATAGGGTGACAACCTGTCAAGCAAGGCTATAGCAAATTGCCTGCTGGAGATCGTCGTACTTCTCCTCGCTGTCCCAGCGGCGAAGTCGAGCCGGGGCTTTGTCACTTAGCGCAGCATGGAAGCTTCAGGCCACAAAAGGGTTTAGGGTTTAGGGTTTAGGGTTTAGGGTTTAGGGTTTACAAAGTTTGTGGATTCAGCTTGCTTCAGGGCGCCCCTGAGCCCCGAGAAAACCCCTTGAACTTAGCAAAAGAGTAGGTCAGATATAAGGAGGAAGCTCCTCTTTTTTGTCCCTTCCTGCATGCGTGCACACTTGTGTTGATGGTTGGTACCGCATCATCCCGTAACCCATGCACACGCTTTCATTGAGACACGCAGGCATGTGCTATTCGTGTGTGCCTACACACATGCGAAAAGCACATGTGGTCATGCACACACGGATTCGGAAATCTGCATCCATGGCTCTTTCGCCAACAACCCGCGCACAAAGATCCTCTACGAGTAGGAGTCTTCAGGTGCTTTCTCTACAAACTGTGTGGCTGAACATTCAGCTGATAATCTTCGGAACATCTATCTAGTGAGAACAAGTAACGTCGCCAGTACAAGAGTGCTTCCGGATGACGCAAACTTGTGGCCAAGGCCACGCCTACATACGAGGGCGCCAGACGGCGATGTGCAGCAGACACTACCTGGCGACGTGCACGAGCTTCTCACGCCAGTACGTTGACTAGGACTCAGACTAGACCTGTGGCGCCTGCAGGGGCTTGAGGGTTTAGGGCTTTAAGCGTTTAAGGGATTAGGGTTTAGGGTTGAGCGCTCAAGTGCAAAGGGGGGCTTGACAGACCCAAGCGGAAGGCCAGGACGGGAGCGATCTTGGATACTGCAAGTTCCTCCGCCTCGAAGCCAAACATGTCAGACATATATGTACTTTTTGCATGCAAGCATGAGATCTTGTTTTGATTTCAATGCAATATATCTGTTCTGGAATTTGTGTCGTTCAAGTTGAAGCCAATAGTCATCGCCTTTTTCATGCCTTGTATCGCTGTTGACTGTGTCAGCAGCATGCAAGAACACCCTCCTTCTCATCCTCCAGTATGAACTACGAATCATTTTTATTATGTCAAATCGAGAAGGTTTTCGAAGGCTGACCTCTTCATCTTCTTCCTCTCTGTCTTCGTCCTACTAGGAGTAGACGCAGATAGGAGTGCGTCTTCTTCTTGCCGCCCTCCGTGGCCGTGACAGCTTATTGTTATTGTTGTTGTTGTGTTTTGGTTTTGTTGTTGCTGCTGCCCCCCCCTTTCTATCACATCAAACTCTTGGTCTGCTTCTTTGTCCTGACAGCGAGGCATATGTCAGGGCTGCAGCGATAAGGATGCTTCATGCAAGTAGGCACTCGAGAGCACTTCACAAAAAAGCCCCGAACCCCAAAAGCCCTAAAACCATACTCAACCCAGAACTGCCCAAACCCCAAACCCTACATACCCTAAACCCTACATGTCCAAAACCATAAATGTCCTAAACCCTAAATGCCCTGCCCGAAACCCTAAATAACCTAAGCACTCTAAACACCCCAAATAACCAAAATGCCCCAAATGTCCTGAACCCTACCTGCATGGGCTATTATACCCTATAAGCCCTTAAAAAGGCCCTTTATAGGGTTGATTATGGGGGATTTTAGGGCCGAATAGCCCATCCTGGCACATACCCATGTTTTCAGTCTACTTATAACCTACTTGGAGGACTTAGGGGGCTTGTAAGTACAGTTATTGTGGGGTTATACGTACCCATGAACCTCCAAGTGCCCATCTTCATTGCTGAGTTCCCTCGGGGAAAAAAAGGTTAACCTTTGGGTTTTAAGGGGATGTATAGTACCCAAAAAGGTTAAAAGTTACCCACCCCGCACCTAAGCCCTAAGCCCTAAGCCCTAAGCCCTAAGCCCTAAGCCCTAAGCCCTAAGCCCTAAGCCCTAAGCCCTAAGCCCTAAACCCTACATCCTTATTGGGGTTCGAACCTCCAAGTACCCATGACCCTAAACCCTAAACCCTAACCCTAAACCCTAAACCCTGAACCCTAAATTTATGAAAACAGCCCATGGCTTGCTTCAGCCGCGGCTTTTTCCAAGCGCTGCCCTCCGACGGCGGTCAGATCGGACACCTTGGGGGGCTAAGTCACATACCCTAAACCCTAAACCCTAAACCCTAAACCCTAAACCCTAAACCCTAAACCCTAAACCCTAAACCCCAAACCCGACAAAACCAAAATTGCAAAGGCCGCCTAAGAAGCCCAAGGGCTTCAGGGTTTTTGGGGGGTTTAAGACGAGTTGGAAGGTTTCCTTTATCGGGCTTTCGAACGGTGTAGGGTTGGCTGCGCCAGATCCCAAGACCCCACGGGTTTAGGGTTTAGGGTTTAGGGTTTTGGGTTTAGGGTTTAGGGTTCTTGGTTCTTGTCCACCAGGGGCTATAGGTTTTCGGATCGCGTGGAAAGTGTGTCGGGCTTGGGCTTAGGGGGGTCTTTTTTGGAGGCATATTTGTGCTACCGGCTCATTTGTAAACCCTAAACCCTAAACCCTAAACCCTAAACCCTAAACCCTAAACCCTAAACCCTAAACCCTAAACCCTAAACCCTAAACCCTAAACCCTAAAGCTTTGAGTTGCCAAGTTTCAGGTCTGAGCCTGAAACCCACCAAAACTGAGTTTCTTGTTCGGGAATTCTATCTTAAGACAGGTGACCTGGATAAGGATACGACTCTATGACTCTATTCTTCTCAAATTAGGTTACCGTTAGAAGAACAGGTCATGCACTGGCTACAAGCTTATTGCAGCATCATTTCAGGCTCCGTGACCCCCCCAAACCACAAACCCAAAGTGTCGGATGTCGGCCATGGGACTGGACTGGGCCGTACTGGAGGCGTGGCATCTTCCCGACGTAGGCTTCGCCTCCAAAAATTCCGGCTAGAGTCGTCTTGGGGTTGAAAGTTTCGGGCTTAGGGGGTTTAGGGGGTTTCAGGTAGTTTTAGGCGGCTGCTTGGTTTCATGCCTAGGGCTATACGGTTTGGGGCTTGAGGGCATCTTCAGAGCTCCTTTCCGGAACCTGCTCTTCCTCCCCTAGCCCGAAACCCTCCAGCCTCGAGGTAGAGACTTGCAAACCGGTTTAGGGTTTAGGGTTTAGGGTTTAGGGTTTAGGGTTTAGGGTATAAGCAAGACAGCAATCTCAAAGCATTTTAAACATACTAATATAAAAATGTAGCAGCCCTGCCTTTTCATGCTCAGAAAGGCTTTCCAAAAGATCTGAGGCCTTCCCCCTTTACACCACTAAGACCCCCATGCCACACTTTCCTTTCTGCAAATGCCTGAGTATTGGGGTTTAGGGTTTATGTTTGGATCCCCCAAGCATTAGGGTTTAGGGCTTCTGACTGGACCCCCTCAGGATTAGGGTGTAGGGTTATTAGGGTTTAGTGCTTATGTCTGGACCCGCGGGTTTAGGCTCTGTATCCGAAGGAGAAGAAGGGACCATCAACTGGAAGACTTGCCTGTCTACTAAGGAATGAGTTAGACTTTGGTTCCTCGGGGGATCAAGTAATGGGCTAGTCGAGGGGGGTGATATTTCAAAATCTCTAATTCCTACTAAAGTTTTAGGGTTGAGGTTTAGCCCTCTAAACCCTCTAAACCCCCTAAACCCCCTAAATCCCCTACACCCCCTTAACCCCCTAAACCCTCTAAGCCCCAAACCACCAGCTCGACCGAGAGGCTGTCCACTTGGTCGAGGAGCCAGGCCGCGAGGTCTGCGTACCTCACTTCTAGGGTTTAGGGTTCATGGGTTCATGGGTTTAGGGTTTAGGGTTTAGGGTTTAGGGTTTGGAGGTTCATGGGTACTTCTAACCCCAGGTATAAGTCTACTTGTAACCTACTTAGGGGACTTAGGGGGGCTTACAAGTACAGTTCTAATTGGGGTTAGAAGTACCCAGAACCTCCAAGCAATGCCCCGGTGGTGTACGGCCTCCACGGGTTGAAGGTTTAGATGGCTCCCGTGTGCCAAGCGGTTGAGAAGCTCAACGGGCTACATGGGGTTGAGTTTTTGAAGTTGCCTTGATTGTTTGGGTTTAGGGGCCGTAAAGTTCAGCTGTTTTTCTGTTGAGGGGTTTTGGGGGGTTGAGGGCTTAAGGCTTCTAGGGTGGGTTCAGTTCACAGTCTCATGGTCGTTTGTTGCAATGGGTCGTATACAGGCTCAATCTCTGGGGGTTCGTTTGGGATGATGTTGTTCGTGATTTCGGCTCCTGCGCTGATGTAAAGGGAGTGGGGGTTCCCTCCCCTAAACCCTAAACCCTAAGCCTAAAGCCTAAAGCCTAAAGCCTCCGGGTTTTGCTTTCCAGGTGCTCGGGTTCTAAGGGCAGATATCGCTATGACACGACTTAGGATGACAGAGTTGTACGGCCCAGGGTGGTCTTCGGGGATGTGAAGAGTAGCGGATCAGGGTTTAGGGTTAGGGTTTAGGGTTTAAGGTTTAGGGTTTAGGGTTTAGTATTTAGGGTGCAGGGTGAAGCGTGTTAGGATTTTCGGGTTTAGGGTTCAGCCTTGCACCGAATGCTGGGCTTTTAAGACTCAGGCCGCACGCAACTTGCCTGAAAAGCGTCGAGGTTGGGAACCAATGCCTCGGCACACGCTACGGCTTGGGATGTTCTCCCTTCTACTAGCAGTCCTTCGTAATTAGGGATTATAGTACCCCAGTTATAATCGGTATTTTAGGGTTTGGGGTGTAGGGTTTCCCCCCCAAATAGATTCTTCATTACTGTTAGAATGAGCGGGAACCGTTGACCTAAACGCCCGAAGCTCACAAGCCTTGCTTCGGGTTGTGGCTTCAGAGGGCTTAGCCCTAAACCCGAAA